ACAGATTCTGGATTCTAAAGTTCATATAGAAAAACGAACATACAAGAATAGCTGGGACAGAAGAGCAGGAGTGTGCCCCTGAAAAGAAAACACAGTGGCATGAAAGACCAGCCCTGCCAGATGGTAGAGTGTACCATGAAGCCACTAGAAGTAAAAAGCATGTAGTAGCACCTGAATAATTACAAATACAATTGGAGAATAATATAAAGTCTAGAAATTGTCCAAGTACATCTGGAAATTTAGAATACGATAAGGGTGGCAAATATAACATTGCAAAAAATAGGGTAGTTTTTAAAAATGATATTAAAATAACTGGATTGCCATTTGAGAAAAAGATAAAATTGTGTCTCTATCTTATACTAGACACCACAATAAATGCTAAGTGGATCAGAGATTCAAATAAAAAATAAACTTGCACAAAAACTGGAAAAAAATTATATCTATGTACATATATAAACATTCTTTTAATTTTATAGAATATGGTATATATGTAAAAATATTTTAATTAAATATATTTTGTAAAACAAACAGAGTAAGGATAAAGCAGAAACTACTGAGAATAGTTACCTCAAAGCATGGTGGACAGGACGGGTATGGGAGCAAGATTTCTCTGAGTTTGCCTGTTTACATATGTTTTTTTCTTTGAACTATAGACATGTTTTACATACTCAAAAAAATAAGTTAAACTAAGAGGATTAATAAGGAAAACATGAAAACAGCATAGAGACTGAAACAAATGTTTCTAACTATATCAAATTGATAGCATAACCACACAGAGAAAAAAATTCAATTTCAACACAATACTCTGTACATATAAAAAGCTAAATTCTAAGAAAAAGAACTGCAAGAAAATCTTTGAGTTACAAAATAAGTTTGTAATTGTATAATGTAATTCTGAAAGTATTTTGTGTGTATTATAGGATAGAGCAAAAGGGTAAAAACCTTTATATGATTGAGAAATAGATTTTGATTTTGGAGAAGGCCAAGTAGACATATGGAATGAGAAAAGTTTAAGAAGAACCTTAAGGTATTTAGTTTGTGATTTAAATACACATTTCTTGACTCTGTCCATTGAGGGGGCCTAAAAGCGATAATACCCCAGTAGCCATGAGTACACATTGTGCCTAGATCTTGGTTTCTAAAAACTATTCCAAGTCAAAAAAAGAAACAAAGGAAGAGAGGGAGAGAGGAAAACAGGGATCCTAGGAAAAATGGGTTATTTCAGGTCTGAGCAAGGACAGTACAAAGTGAACCTGGATTATTGTGTTGTGTCAGAAGTCTAGGAAACGCTCAATGACTAATAAGGTCCCATCAAACACCATCAAGAAATGACTTGTACTGGACAAACTTGGATTTAATTTGAATATAAAAAGATACATGATGGCAATGAATTAAAACACATCAGAGTCCATACGAATAATGTTCAACAACATTATTCCTATGTTGAAAAGAGAAAAGAGAAAGAGAAAAGGAGGGGAAAAAAGTATTTCTTTTAGAAGAATGCCAGCTATTAAATGTAGAAGGAATGCTAGAATTAGAAGCTTAGTATCTTATAATTCCCATAAAGAGATATCAAATCACTAGGTGAAGAATTGTTAGGGGTCAGAATGTTCATATGGTCTTAGTACCACCCATCATATTATTTACTTCAAAGAGGAAATTTTATTTCAACAATGCAGAGATCCAGCTGTCACTTTCATGACCAAGCAATCAAACACAGCATCACCAACAATGAGAAAGCCTGGCATCATATGCCTCTGATGCAATGTAATAAAAGATATGCAATGTCGCCTCTGTGGTATTCTTGACAAAATTCTTAATCTGAATTTACTCAGGAGGACACAATCAGACAAAGCCAGAAAATGGGACATCATACAAGACAATGGGCTTAGGTACTTCAAAATTGACAATGCCATGGTGAAAAAAAGGCAGAGGGGTTGTTCAACACTAAAAAGGACTAAAAAGAGACAAAATAAAATACAATGGATCCTGGCTTGGAAAAACAGAGCTATAAAAGATACTTTTGAAACAATCAGAGAAATTTGAATATGAGCTGTATAATAGATAATATAAAATGATCACTTATTTTTTAAGGTGTGGTCATTGTATGATGATGGAGTGGGAGATAACATGGCATGTACTTAGGGGCGAAATATCATGATATCTATTCTATGCTAGTTTTTAAGTGGATTAGAAGAACTATGCATATACAGAGATAAAGCAAATGGGGCAAAATGTTAATTTGTGAATCTAGGTGAAGAGTGTGTTTTTACTACACTGTTCTTTCAATTTTTCTGTGGATTTGAAGATTTTTAAAAAGGAAGATGAGAGCATGTGGGTAGCTCATGTGGTTCGGGAAAGCAGGCCTAAGGAATGTGAATTGTGAATGAAAGATTTGGACAAATCTGGAGGAGTTGCCTCCTTTTCTAGGAGCAGGGCTCCTTCAGCCAGTGACCCATGGCTGTGTTTACCTCCTGCAGGCCCTGCCCTGCGTATTCATCTTGTTCACTTGAGACCCCAAAGCAGAGGTGAAAAACAGACACTTAGCTAAATGAATAGTTTGATGACACAAAGAAAAGTTCTGGAATGTTTTTTTCATCCCCTGGACTGAGTTGGCTAATGGTTTGATTTGCCTCTGTCAAGAGAAGATCTTGGTAAATAAAAAATAAAGTTATCTTGCTGTTAAAACCCAGTTTTCTCAGCTCTAATCAGGAAAATGCCCACAGTTTCTTTTAAGATCTTGCCAAAGTACCACCTACTGAGATTTTCTACAAATGTCCCGAAGAGACACTGAGTCCTGGTTTCACTGCCATCCTGACACAAGGACGTCAGGCCCATGGCTAGCAGTCCCCTCCCACCCTTCCTGGAGCATGCAATAGAGCTGCCAGCCACTACGGAGAGGGGCTGACTTTCACCCTTTTAACTTACCTTTCAGGATAGTCGAGGTTTAACCTAGAAAATAGGAGAATAGGATGTTTTCTAAATCATTCCTAAATGAGAGAAAGCACGTAAAAATTTTTGATACAGTAGAATGGTTTACTTGCCCTTAGCTTTTTCTTTCGGGTCTAACTTCTTACTGACTCAGCCTGACACCATCTAGTGTTAGTTTTAGAAACTTGAATTGTGCCTTCCTTCTCTTAGAAAATTCCTCCATTTGTAGAAGAGCTCTGATAAGACCCAGGCCAAGATCAATTCCAGGATATATTCCCTTGGGAGAATATATCCCCAGGAGAAAAGCTCCAGCCAGCCAGCCACCTCTCCCCTGTCCTTTATTTCTTTCTTCCTTTCTTCCACCAACCTGCCTTCTTCCTGCTCCCTTCACATCTCCATTCCTGTACTTCACTTTCGCAGCATTTATTGATGAATGACTACTGCAGCCACCTCTTCTGGATTGTGGACATTGCCTCCTATATCTCTGATGTGACAGAATAATCCAGAACTTCCAAACACACAGAACCAAGATGCTCCTCTAACATAATCATATATAGCAACATAAAACCACAGTGACTACTTGTTTGTGTTTTATCGTTTACAGCAGCATCTTCATACACACACACACACACACATACACACACACACACACACATACACACACACACACACACATACACACACACACACACACATACACACACACACACACACATCCACACACACACACACACGTATGTCAGTCATTTATTATGCATCATCACAGCCTCTCCTAGTCCCTTGTTCCATTAGCACACCTGCATACATATATACATACACAGGATTAAGAATTTAGCTTCGTGAAATCTTTCATTTTTGTGAATTTCGATACGAAGATGTCCTGGAAACGGAGTCTGACAAGCTCTGGAGACTTCCAGGGGCACTGGAGTTTCCAAAACCAAGTGGTGCATGTGGGTGGTTTGGCTGGCCAAGAGAGCATCGCTCATCCATGGGCGGTGATAAGATCGCTATGCCAAAATCTCTAACTGACCACTCTATTGTCCTAACGCAGTACCAGAACTGGCTACAGTCTACAGCCGAGGGTGCCTTTGCCATGCAGGGTGCACAGAGGGAAGCCCAAGCCCTTTTGGCTACTGTACCCTATGCCAACCCCTTCCTCTAATGACACTTGCCTACTGGGAGGAGGGACCACAGGTGCATTCTAGTCCCCTAGGAAGCATTTTAGAGTAGAGAAAAGGCCTAGGATGACAAGCAGGGGAGCAGAATGGATAAAACAGCAGAGAAATGATACCACAGCAGTGACCTTACCTTGGGATTCTCTTCTTTAGCTCAATGGTGTCTAAACAAAGAGAACAGGGCATTAGAAAGGAAGCGCTGTGATGGATATGCAGCTCACTCAATGCCAAGCAAGAGGAAGGGGTTCAGAGCCACCCAGACTCAGGCAGGGATAAGAGGTTCTGTGGGTTGGGACCACTGGGAATGGTGGTCTTGGGCTGAGTGCTCTGCCCTGACATTTGGCTCTGCAGAGCTTCTCTGTCCAGATCCCATCACTGAGCCCCTTTAGCTCAACATGCAGGTGGGACTGAGCCTTCCCTAGAGGCCCTCCCCCAGTCATTCCTCACCTCCCCCTCCACTTGCAGCTCCTGGGCCCTTTTGTCCTCAGGAGATCTGGCATGTCTTCTGCTATGTGATAAAGAGGATATTTGCTCTTCCTCCTTATTCGCAGGGATACAAAATCAATGGTAAACAAACTCCTATGACTAATTAAGCTCCTCGTGCAAATGGACACGCTAGCATCTCAGGAAACCCCTGAGTGCTGCAGCTCCCCCTCTTCCTGGCACAGACCCACTGCCCCATATACATTCTGTGTATCTTCAAAAATAATCATTGAATTTTTTAGAGATACAGTGAGGTGGCTTTCTCCTCATCCTCAGAAAAACCTCATGGAAAACTGCATATCATCCCATTAAGCAGTCTTATCTGAGATGATTTTTGCAGGTCCCACCTTGAGAGAAAAGGGTGCAAATCACTTGCATTTTGCTGGCAAAATTCACAAACTGAACTCAGTGTCTGCATGGGATGTGCCTCCCTGTAGGTGTCATAAGACACAGAACTACTTTGGGTTCACATAAGCTCAGCTCTGCATGAATCATGAGAACTTTCCCAATTTATGGGAAAAAAAAGACAATTTGGCCCACATAATCAGGGCTGAAAGCACCTTCCACCACCCATGCTAGGATCAGCCTCATCACCTCCAGAAGATCAATTTTATCTGATCACATCATTTGGATGAAAATATAAATTTCTGTGTGCAGCCAACTCAGCTCTCTTCCCCACCTTTCTCCAGCAAATCTGACTTAGATATATTAGAAGTTATAAACAGAAAAATACACAAAGAGAGACACATAAATGGACAGAGACAGAGACACAGGGATGTCACTGCATTTCTTTTCAGCCCATGGTTTTTATTCTTTCTCTAGCCAGTGTTCTGGAGTGGCCTTCTGTGCCTCATCAGTGGCAAAACCCAGGCTGAGTGTCACTGTCCCCTCACCATTGTATCCCAGGTGTGTGCTTCTTAGGTCTGAGGAATCATTATCAAACAAGTGCTTCTTGATCATGCAGTACTTCAGGGCTAGGAAGACGGCCGATATGGCAACACCCAGAGCTGTCCCGATGATGGCATATTTGATATCTAAAGTGTAAGGATGAATTGAACAATGGTCTTCAATTGATCACCACCCTGCAAAGGTCTTCTGTGGCTCCCTTTACATTTGAGATGAAGTCCAAAGTCATGTGTGCGGATCTTGAAATTCCACACTCTGACCCACTGAGGACAACCTAATTTTCCACTCTCCTGGGGGCATATTCACATCTGGACCCCTTCAGCTATGGAAATCACTCCCAAGTGGCTTATGGCTCATTTTTCTGGCCTCCTATAGTTCTTCCTCACTTATCCCTTCATTAATTCATTTATGAAGTATGTATTAATTGTCTGCTCTGTGGTGAGTACTGAAGGCAAATGAAGGAGACCTAGCTCTCCCTTGGGGAATATGACTTTAGCTGAGAAAGACAAGGGCTCACTCTAATGTCAGGTAACTAGAGCAGGCTAGACTGACATGAGGGTCAGCAGCTTTCCCAGAGAAGCTAACATGCAAATTATTCCTTGCCCTGTGAGGTGAGCTCTGAGGTGAAGAGGAGCTAAGTCTGTGCAGGTCGAGGTGAGAGCACAGAAGCATGGCAGAGCCAGCTGTCTGGGGATCATGGCTGCAGTGCAGGGTGCTGTGGGTGCTTGAGCTGCTTATCTCATAGAGCATGGACAAAAGTGACCCCAATGACTCATGTCCCCTTTGAGGACAGGCTCTCAGGCAGGACCATGTTCCCAGGACAAAGCTGTGTGTTAGCCACTGAGGCAGGCCTGGAGGTGAGTGCTGCCCTTATTTTGTGATGACTGGCAAGAAATCAATACCAGCATGTCCCCACCTGCCCAGGCCTTTGAAGTGCCTCCTTCCTGCCTCTTGCCTCCCATGTAGAATAAGCTGGGAAGTGACCTACCAGTTTCGGCCCTAGCAGACTTGTCCGTTGCTAACACTTGAGCTCCTCCCACATCTGCAAAAAAAGAATACCCAGAGTCTGGTTAGACAGGGTTTGAACTCATAGACAGGAGATGTGGCACACAATTAGGGCCATGATCCCTGCAGACAATCCCTAGAAGAGCTAAAGTAGAGCTGTGGGCCTTGGAGAAAAAGGCACACATTAATTGGCCACTTATTTTGAAACTTACAGCAAGAACTCTATGAGATAGGTGCTATTACCATCATCAACTGATGAATGAAGAACGGAAAGCATGGATGATGTACCCAAGGGCCAGGAGAAGCAGAAAGTGGCAGGGCAAGGGTCTGAACTCCAAGGATGCCCTGCAAACACAAGTCCCAGGGAGCTAACAGAATAATGCCAACGCCAACACCATTAAGGCCAAGGGCTAGGGAGATTAGGTTGGGGGTGGGTCATGGATGGGGAGGTCCAAGCCTGATTCTCAGGTTCAAGCTTTCCTGTGGCTTTCCTTGTTTCTCATAAAAGGGAACAGGTGACTTTGTTGGGATACCAGACCTTCCCAAGCTTAGCCCATTTCACCCGCCCTGGTCTTCTGTAGGTCAAACAATGACTGAGGCACTTGCTCATGAAAGCAGCAAAGATGTTCCCCCTATGGCACGTGTGCTGACCACATTCAACGCTGCCCAGGGTGATGTGCATGTTGGGCTGACACTCTGTGGAAGACATCTTTACTCTGTGTGTTTTTGGTGGTGAAAGAATTGTCATAATGGGGTTTAGGATTTGTCTGGTGGCCTTACTTAGTAAATGGATAAAGTTGGGGGATTCTGAATTAAAAGTATACAGCCTTGTTCTACTAACAAGTCCTCTTGGAAATTCAGTATGTCCTCTCTTTGCCTGAGAATGCATGCCTCCACATTGGGCCCACACAGGCACCACAGACACCATCGTGCACAATATGACCCTGTTTTCTTCAGTTCTTGAGTCCCCACTGAGCTCCTTTTTTCTTTACATTAATCCTGTTGCTCCAACTAGGTTGAAAATCATTTCACAAATGGAAAAAGCCTTGTATTTTGCACATGGTCAAACCGAGTTTACTAAACCAAGTGGCTGTGGCTTGGAGCTGACTTCCAAACTGATGACCGAAAGTCAGAGTTATGTGTGCTGCACGCTCACCCTGGCTCCTTTCTTGACACCAGTCTGCCCTCTCTTTAACTTTACTGGACAGAAGGCAGGGCATCTGGCAAGTGGGGCCAGGCTCACTAAGGGGCAGCCTGTCCCTGCCCCCCTCACACAGAGACATCTCTCTTGGCTCCCACTATCCTTCTCCACAAGGAATATGCAGCATAAAACCTTCATGCAAGCTTGAGATAAAACTTGAATGGAGAAAAAAAAAAAAAAAAAGGACACAGATCAGGATGAGTGAGACAGAAAGAGCCAGAGAAATAGAGAGAGGCACACATAGAGAAACACAAGGAGATGTGCACATACACAGAGACACGCATGGAGGCTGTGCCTGAGAAGTTCAGACCCCTGACAGGAAGAGCAAGAAGGAAAGAGGAGAAAATGTCTAGTGTCAAAAAAGGCCTGGCCCTGCGCTCCCCAATAGAACCAAGCTGCCTGGCATCTTTCCTCAACCTCATCCACCAAAAGTGTAGTCCTGAACTCTCAGCTCTGCCCTCCTTGGCAGGGAGCCCATGGCTGGGGCTCAGCTCAGTCTCTACTCCTTGCCCTCAATGCAGGGTCACCATCTTTCATTCTCCATCCTGTATCTGCCCTAAGCCCTGAGGCCACTCCTAGTTCCTGGCTCCAAACAATCTCTCCAGGCTCTCCTGCCTCAGGTTCACCATCAGGAAATGAGTGAATGCTTTCCATGGGGCCACTGCTCTGAAAGCTGCAGGCAGACAAACCTGGGTGATGGACCATGCTGTGCACTCAAACAGGCCACACACATCCCCTCTCAGGAATAGGCGGCAGCCTCTCCCCCCCCTGGGGAGAAAAATCTCTCTGTGAAGCCTTCCCCCTGCACCCTGAGTCTCTGCCCTGGGTTCTAAGTAGCCCCTGGGTGAAGATCCATCATGAGCACACCAGCCCATTGATCCCACCCTCAGCTCCTGCCAGGGTCATGAGTTGAGGGAGTCCCTCCCCAGCCATAGACTCCCAGTGAGCCCCCAGCACTGATTTTCCCCTGGTTCTGCAAAGTAGCTGGAGGATGAATGGCGTTAGCAGGGCTCAACTGTGAGCACAGGCAGAGGTCTCCCAGTGCTCTTGAGTTCAGATCTGTGAGAGACCCAGGAGGAAACCAGAAGCCACTGTAATTTTTTAACTGGAATTCTCTGGGTTCTCTTGTGAACAGGAGGAAGGAGCATAGTATTCAGAGGATAGGCTCTAGAACTCAGTGAAGAGTCCAAGGGGGTTAAGCAAGGACAGGCTGATCCAAGGCTGGTCTCCCTGGGGGCATGCAGGAACCCTGTTGGCCAGCAGATTCATGGGACAGTAGTAGGCATAGTGCTGGCCAAATCTGACTCGACTGTCAGCATTCCTTAGACTATCTGCACTGAGCAAGGTACAGAGGGCAGGAGCAGAGGCCCCTGAGCACTGCACTTGCTGCTGCCTATAGCAGAGCTGGGGGACGCCTCTAGATGGGCTTGCTGAAGTTTCAGAGCAGCCTCACCAAGATAGTCTCCTCGTGTGCCCAGGTTGGGCCCTGCACCCAGAAGCTCTCACAAAGCACACATCTGAAGTTATACCTAACCAGAGGATGGTACCTTTTTCTAAAGTGCACAAAGGCACTTATGGCTCTGAGTCTAGGGTCTCTGCTTCCTCCTCATGACCATTTAAACATGCTGTTGCCAGATATACTCTACCCCTCCTTGCCAAAAGAGCTGGTTTCCAGCCCCTTCCAACTCAGTCCTGTAAAGCACAGCCTGCTCTTGCAAGTGGTTTCTCAAGAAGAAGGAGCCTCCTGAAAGAATAAATTGCCCTGAGGTTCCTGGGTTCTACTTCCCCAAGATGGTAGCTCCCTGGGACCCACTCCCCTAGGATGAAGAGGGACCCAATAGAGAAAGACAAAAGCAGGGCTGCTCCAGGTGGGTGAAGCTGAAGATGCAACATGGCCTTGGCCCATCTCAGTTGGAATTTGACCCTCTGAGAGCCCATCTGTGACATTCAGACCTCTCGTGCTATACACAACATTTGTTGGGCCCACCCTCAATGGAGGCTGGTACTCTTCGGCACCCTTATTTGGGCAGAATCAGGCTGTGTGGTTCCAGTGTTGGGTGGTGGGTGTGCACACACTCAGATGTTGTTCTATAAGTATCTGAACTAAAAATAGGGAGAGGCTGCCTTGAGTGTTTGTCAATTGATGCCTGGCCATTTTCATCTTGGAACTTAAACATTGCAGAATGGCTCCTAACTTTAGATCTCATGAATTCCAATGTTCTCAGCTAGAGGAAAGGGTTTCAAATGTCTAGAAGAGACATCTATCTTCTCCTAACAGTCCACACATAGAGATGAAGTACTACAGTGTATTTTGGGGGGCCCTGGTGTCAAGGGGGACCCCAGAGCAACCTAAGAAGGAGCTCACAGAGTGACAAGGGAAATAAGATTTACACTGAAGAAAAGATCAGAGTGTCATTGATGATGTCCAACACCTTTCTGCAAACCTTGGTCTCCACAAACTGAAGGAATTCTGAACAGGATATGTTGGGTGGACACTTGCTGTATGGCTTGCCCACCTCCCTTGACTCCTCAGCTGCTGGCTGGTTTTCCTTGTGGGAGCCACCTGCATGTGATTCCCTCAAGCTGGCTCCAGAACAGACCTATGACCCATATCTGATTAATTAGCATATTCCTTCTTCCTGTCAGCAGTAACTGGTCAAGGAGCAGGGCAGAAAGTCTCAACTCTGGGACTTCAGGGAAAATATTTAAAAAAAGAAGTATCTTCCAGAATTGGTAGCTGTAGATTGAGGGAAGGCCGTCCATGGGGTGGCGGAAACTTGCTGAGATTGAAATTCCCCAGAAGAGAGTCAGGCTGAGACCAAGACCTAAAGATAACTTTTGAACCCCTGAATCCAGCTGTGCCTGAAGCACCTCTTCTTTACTTTTCAGTCACCTTGGTAAGGAAAAACATTCTTTATCTTAAACTTATCTGATCTAAGTAATTGTCATCTCCAGTTAGAAGAGTCTTGACAACTTACGTGTCAGCAGCTCCTTCATAGAGCATCCTTGGAAATCAGCACAGCAAGACAGGGATGGGAGCAGAGAATACTGGCTGCAAACATGGAGCTCATGGCACAGCCTCAAATAACCCAACTAGGATCTGCAAACTAAGCAGCTCTGTGCACCTCTGAGCCTATATGCTGCTTCCTTTGATGCAATGCCTTTCTTATCCCTGTGGAAAGGTCTTACTCACTCTTCAAGACAGCACAAAGCCACCTCCTCTGCAAGTCCCCTTGCTCTCTTTTAGTCCAGGATCAGCCCTGCCACCTTATCATACCTCTGCCCTGCCCATTTGTACTGCCCCAAAGTTTGTTCTGTGGCATGAAGGATACTACTCAGAGATCCGAGGGTAAACTGTTTCTCCCAGGACCAGGATGACATGTGAGACTCCCTGGAACTTAATTTCTCCCCCTGAGAGATGCAAGGAGAAGGTGGAAGGGGAGAATCCTGAACTGACTGGGAAGTTACCCCCAAAACAAAAGTGGCTTGAAGTGATAAGACCAAGTTTCTAGTACTGAGTGATAACAGAGCTCAGGAGGGAAGTAAAGTTCAGCCACAAAAAAAAAAAAAAAATGATTTGAGTGACAACATTGCTCCTGCAACTCTGAGAGTAGGGACACTCGTGAAATAAACATGCAGCCCTGTGTGGAACACACACGGCACACACAGCTGCCATTGCTGTGGATGCCTCTGTCTTCCCTGCCTGAGACTGCAGGTCTGAATACTGCACAGACAGGATTTCTCTAGGAGAGAAGATTGGAAAGAGAATTTGGAGTGTAGAGTGAAAGTGGATGGTTCAACTATGCTTTATGCCATGATTTGATCCTGGGCCTCACTTTTCTCATCCAAAAATAGGGATGTAAGACCCTGACATATAGAAAGGACTCACCAAGACAGCTACTTTCTTTCTGCCCATTTGTGCCAAGGCTCCCTGCAACCTAAACTGACTTGGGGGTCCCAGCAGAACACGAGGCCTGCTTCTCTAGTTGTGGTGGTTTGGGTACTGTGGGTGCTCACAGTCCTATTTCTTCCTCAGAGCTCATGGATGAGTCTACTTCTTAGAAAAGCAAAGTCAGTGGCCCTGGCCAATTCGTCCCTCCATTGATGCTGGAAATCAAATACATGAAGCCCTAATGCAGAATGGAGGCTCCAGGCCTTCTCTGGGCAGAATGCTGGAGCATCACTGAGTTGTCCTGGGTTCTGCAGAGGTTGCTGGGTTTGCACTGGGGTCTAGAGCTTTCCTTTGACCTGGCTATGACTTGCAGGAACCCCAGGCTTCCTGTTCACAAGCCTAGAAACCACTTGAAACTGGTCTTCCTCGATACCCTCTTCAGGTCTCATTAAAGAGACTGCAGCTGCCAAGCTTCAAGTAAACAGGATATCCTACTCAGCAGTTGGTGTTCTTTTCTTCCTCTGAAATCACCTAGACTTGGGGCAGAACTCACACTTGCCAGAGTTGTGCAGTTTTAAGAGATGGAAAGCAAAAGGAAATATAGGAAAGAGAGAGCAAAGCAGACGTGCTCCAAAGGGGAAAGGGGTCTTGGGACACAAATCCCCATTCATGGCAAGAGAGCAGCACAGTGAGTCGGCTAGAGCACTTGCTCCCCACACCTAGCTGAGCACCACTGGGCTCTGGCCAGCAGTGGCCTTAACACCTAGAAGATGGACAGTGAGTAACGAATGCCACATACAGGGGCCCCTGTTAACACATGGAAATACACAGCCATTAGCCACCCAGAAGGACCAAGGTGGACCTAACATATACTGGAGGAGACAGAGAAGATCCCTTGGAGTGTTATTTAAATTAAAAATAAAAGGACAAGTAAGAGCTGGTGAAGATGGTGGAGGAAGGGGGGGAATGCGGACAGGCAGGGAAGGTGTCCAGGCAGAGGAAGAAGAGCCAGCAAAGGCCAGGGGCCCTAAGAGAGCCTGAGAGCTTGGGAATAAAGAAGGCAGCTTAGCAGTTCAGAGCAGCTAGAGGGCACAGGTAAAGTGAGGCTCTCAAGGCTTTCCAGAGGACAGAGAGGGAACCACCAGCTAGGGCATGGCCACCCTGGGCAGGAGCTGGACACAAGAGGCCACAAAAGGCCACCAGGAAGATGGAGAGTCTAACCTGAGGCTATGAAGCACAAGGGAAAAATGCCTCCAGCTTCCACAAATAGCATCGTAATTAAGAGAAAAACAATAATGGTTGGTGACCAGACAGTATCAAAACTTGTGCCCACTTTGTTTTTCCTGAGCAATCTTTGCTAATTAATTCTTAAAGATTCACATACTGGGATTAAAACACTCAGCTACAGAAGCCAAACTGATCAATACTTTTCCAGGCTAATGGAGTGGCTAGAGACAGGGAGCCGGCTTCAGCCCAAGGTAGAACCAGGGTACTCCAGGCCTGGGGAGCACTCCCAAAAGGGGGAAGTAGGGTGTCTCAGGTCCATGCTATCCAGGAGGTAGTGACATGCAAATGCTGTCACATGTGGCCAGGGAACTACTGAAACTCTGAGGGAGCCAGAGGCGTTAGAAGCCAGGAGAGCTTGAGGCTGCCCTAGATGGGTAGGTGGTAGTGTCCAGGGAGGGCTGGGCCAGTAGACCCACAGCCAGAACACCCTGCTAACTCTACTCACTTGTGGAGGGGTTTGCTCCATCTTTGAACATCTCTGTGGGGCATGAAACCTTTCTGTGCACCCATGGTGGGTGGGAAGGAATGATACTTAGAATCAGAATATCTGAGTCTCATTTCTGCCACTGTTCAGCCAGACATGACATGGCTCCCAGTTCAGTGGACCCTCTGCATTGGGGCTGACAACAGGAAGCCTGTCCAGCCCCTCCACTCCATGCTGTCTTGGACCCCCTGAGGGTGTATGGGTACCGACTGGGGTGTCCTTCATAAGCAGTAAGCCACCCACTTGAGAGGAGGTCCTCAGCCTTCCTGTGACCATAGGAGATATGGAGAGCAGATCATACCAGGAGGCAGCTCTGGGTAGGTGCTCACATCAGAAAAGAGATAGGCTTCCCCATCAAGAGCTCAGGTCTCTGATGTTGCAGAACCAAGCAGAGGCCTCCAGAAGGCTGCATGACTCCAGGTGGGGGATGGCTCACACACTCACCATCAGGGCTTCAGATCAGAGAAGTCCTGTTTTCAAGAGTGAGGATTTGCAAAAAAGTCAGGGGATGCTGGAAGCAGTGCAGAATAACTAATTAATGATGGTGAAGTGTTGTGGATGAGGAAAGCACTGCATAACTGCTAAGTGGTGGAGTTATTATTATTCATGCAATATTCATACTGTGTTCTTCAGTCTCTGGGAAGCTTCGCTCAGGAGTCCTCAGGGACCTGGCTAAGGAAGCATATACCCAGGGGGCGGGGCTGAGGGATGACAGCTGGCCCGGCCCACAGTGAAGAAGCCATAATGCTGCAGAGGAAGCAGTGATACCAGCCAACATCAGAACCCCATGACCTTGGCAACACCAAGCCATTTGTGTCTATCTACCAGAAAGGAGGGTCACTGAGACCTACTATAGGCCTTGGTCTATGCCTGGTACCCATCACAGTTATCTTTTCTAAGGCAGCTTCTAACATTTGCAGAGCCAGGGCATGCCACATGTCTAAATATTTAAAAGTTGTAAATCAAGCAACACACAGGGCCCAGCTCACTTTCCCTGTGGGGCCCAGCAGTCTATTCTTCAGGGGTCACCTTCCCAAAGGGGAAGCTTAGTTCTGCTGAGGGCCCCAAGAGCTGACAAAGTCTTCTGGGCAGAGCAGGAGGACACTGGGCCTAGTTAGGCCTCCTGGAATTACTGGACCTTCAAAGATTAGGGACTCCCAGCAGGTCCTACTACTCTGTACCTGGTTACCTGGAAATTGGGTCTGCTTAAGAATGCTTGTTGGCCACTGAAATAAAAGCTCTCCCTCTCTTGCTATCTAGTTCCCATAGCCCCATTCAGGCTGTGGTTTCCCCTATGGGACGCACCATGGTCATCATTTTACCCTCTCAAGATCACACACCTGAATAAGAGGGCTCTGAGGCTCGAAGCTGGGTTGGTCTGTCTCCAAAGAAGAGTCTCACGCCCGCATGGACGGTAGACAGTGGCTTCAAGCTGACTGCAGTTTCATAATGTGCCATGTGTGGCTCACCTGAAACTTGGGAGTGTCTCTTTTCATACCTCAAGGTCACCTCAAGGATGTTCTCTGAATGTCTCCCAACCCTTCCCTGGGTCAGCTTAGCTACCCTGTCCAACACTGTCTTCTGAGGGGCTAAGCACAGGTCAGCCAAAAATTGTGACAGACAAGGCAATTTAGCCACATGCAGCTTCTAGTGGAGAAGCTGGAGTGAGTCATGTAATGCAGCCTCAGAAGCCAGCATAGACTCTGCTGGAATGACCTTAGACAAATCTAGCCTGTGTTCTCTTGCCTGGGAAGTCTTTTTGCCACCAGCCTGCCTGCTACACTGCAGCTGGGGGACTTTTCCTCTAAGATTGCCTAAATGCCCTGCAGAATAAGGCCCACCAAGCCCTCTTCCACTGGCTTGTGCTTACTTTTGAGTCTCATCTCACACTCCCCTCCACTCCATGCTGTCTTCACCCCCATCTCTCCTGTCCCAACCTGATGTCTTCCTACAGTCTAGTTTCTAGAAGTTGAGGTTCCCCTTCATGAACTACTCAACTCACAAACAAGTGTCAGTTACTGGATATAGCTGAGTGGTAGCCTGGCGAGACCAGATTTCTGCCCTGACAGAGATGACAGTACAGGGAGAAACAAGATCCCAAACAGACATGCAAGAAAACAGATATGCTACTAGGATTGTGGGGAGCACTGTGGGACAGCATCTCCCAGGCCCTGGGGAGGGGGCAGCACACATTCCACATAGGGAAGATGATATGAGGAGGCCTAGAGACTGGATAGGAATTTGACAGATATTGGTGGGGCTCAGGAGCAAGAACACTGGGTGGACTACATGACAGATCTGGGGGGTCCTGTGGACACAGTAAATGCTTTGGTCTGTCTTGGCAGTAGTGGGAAGCTACTGAAGGATTGCAACCAGCTAAAGGCAAATTAATTTGCTCTCAACAAAACTCTTCTTCCAGGAACCCCTCCCAGATACTCTAATTTGGATTATGGACTCCTCCTCTAATTCTCTCCTTGTTTTCTTCATCTCTACTCTTAACACACCACAATGCAACTGTCCTCCCCATAGATTATCAGTTCCTTCAGATTGGAGCCCAACTCACTATCTTTGTGTCCCAGCAATGCCTGGTGAAAATCAATATTTGCTTAATGTAAGAGAAAGCCCCAATGTCTATGTGTCCTGGTCCTTGGGGATAGCCCATGGGCTCAGCTCCAGGCTCTTAACCTCTTCCCTTGCATACTGACTGCTTGACGATGTGACCTGAGGGTTTGCACAAGCTTTCACAGATCTCAGAGATGGGTACCGCCAAGTTCCAGACAGAAATTCCCCAGCTGCTCATCTGTTTCATTCAGACAAGCAAGAGAGAGCTAGCCCAGTTCATCTTACTGAGAACAATCAGCTGGTTATTTTGTGGAATCAAATTTAATAAAAGAAGCAGTTCAAGCAATTTTTGTGTATAAATGAGGGCCTTGGTGTGACAGAGATGGTTATAGTGACTTTAAAGAGGAAGTACAAGTGGTTTAATTTGGGAGTGAAAAGTCTACAGACTTGAGCATCAGCCGAGTCAGCTCCAGCTTCTCAGCCTCTCATCTCTGGCTCCATCCAGAGTATGAGGACAACAGGAATTTCTTGGCAGGCACTCTGCAGAGGTAGTCCCTCCTGTCTTCACCTCATGGGGCATTTTCTCCCTTCAGGAGCCTCAGGATCAGGGATGTGTGTCTTAAAGATGTGAGGTAGCCCAAACCCCTCCTCAAAGAACACTCCCCCAAATCACCCCTTCCCCAGCCTCTTAACAACTCATTTTGGGAAAAGATTGGAATAGGCTTACTTTTCTCTGTCCCTCTCACTAAGTATAGCTAAAAATTCTAGACAGTATATTAAAAATCAGCATAAGAAGATCATGAAAGGTGGAGAAAAATGATGAACTGGCTGAGGACCTTGGGAGCCTCACTGGAAATGGCAGTGTCCTGAGAGTGGGGTGCGGCTTAGAGTTCGTGTCTGTCACAGCTCATAAAAATATGAGTCAATAAAATAGACTTTCATTCCCCTCTAAGATTTCTAAATTATGTGTGAGTGTTGAAGGTAAAAGATAATGATATGTCTGATGTAGTTCTCATTATATGTAGAAGAAATATTTAAGAGAGTAAAGAGACATAGTGGCACAATTCCTACATTTTACTCGAACTGTTAAAGTGTTGGCACCAGCGAACTGTGATGTACTATGTATATATAATGTGATAAGGCAACCACTAAATAAGCTATGGAAATCAATACACTCAGAAGCACTACAGACTAATCAAAATGAAATTCTGAAAACTGTTCCAGTGCACAAAGAAAGGTAAGAAAAATAAAATTACAAATGGAGAACAAACAGAAATAAAAACATAAATTGCCAGACAGAAGGCTTTAACTTATTGAATACTATATTAAACATAAATTGCCTAAATTTGGCAATTAAAAACATTTGCAAAGTCAATTTACAAATGACTGAACTATATTTTGTCTACAAGAAACTCACTCCAGGTAAATTGAAAGTAGAGGTATAGAAAAAGAAATGTCATGCAAACATAATTTTTAAAAAAAGAGTGGCTGTATTAATATCAGATGAATTTCAGATCAAAGAAAATTATCAGAGCCAGTGATATTACATTACATTATATTAATTTAAATTATATTACATTACATAATGATAAAAGAGTCGATCCACCAAATAGACACAGTAATCCTAAATGTATATGCATCAAACAATAGCTGCAAAATATGTGAAGCAAAACTGATAAAACTTAAAGGAAAAATAGAAAATACACAATTATTATTGAAGTCTTCAGCAACCTTCTCTCAACAATTGATAGAACAATTAGACAGAAAATCAGTAATGATATTTAAAAAATTCAAGTAACAGAACCCAACACCAGCAGAATACACATTCTCTTCAAGCACTCATAGAAGATACATCAAGATAGACTATACCCTGGGTCAAACGTCAACAAATTTAGAAGAATTTAAATCATACAAAATGTGTTCTCTGATCATAATAGACTCAACTGGAAATAAATAATGGAAAGATAACAGAAAAATTTCCAAACACTTAGAAACTAAAAATACTCCTAAATAATTCATGGGTCAAAGAGGAAGTCCCAAGAGAAATCAAAACATTTATTAACTGAATGAAAATGAAAACACGCATCAAAATTTGAGGGACATAGCTAAAGCAGTGTTGAGAGGACAATTTATAACACTATTTTTTTTTTACATTAGAAAAGAGGAACATTAATAATCTACATCCCACTTGAAGAAACCAGAAGAACATCAATTTAAAGCCAGAGTAAACAGAAGAAAGTAAATAATAAAAACAAGAGCAGAATTCAGTGAAATTGAAAAAAGAAAAACAATAGAGAAAATCAGTTAAACAAAAAACTGCTTCGTTGAAAAGATTAATCAAATTGACACACCTCTAGCAAGACTGACAAAGGAAGAGAGAAGACTCCAATTGCAAATATCAAAAATGAAACAGGGATGTCACCATAGACACTGCAGACATCAGAAAGAAAACTGGGAATACTATGAACAATTCTACACATAAAAACTGATGATGTGGATAAAATGAACCAATTCCTCAAAAAATAGGAACTACCACAATTCACCCAATATGAAATAGATACTTCGAATAGTTCTTTAACTAATAAGAAATTTGAATTCATAATGTACAAACTCCCAAAAAAGGTATCTGTAGGCCCAGAGAGTCTCATGGGAGAATTTTAATAAATGTTTAAAGAAAAATTAACACCAACATTACACAATCCTATTCAGAAAATAGAAGAGGAGAGCACACTCCTTAATTTATTTTATGAAGCCAGCATTGCTGTAACCTTAAAACCAGACAAAAAACATACAAGAAAAGAAAATTACAGACTAGTATCCTTTGTGAAAACGGATTCAAAACCCTTTCCTAGATGTTATCAAATAGAATTCACAAGATGAAAGAATTACACATCATGAACAAACAGAGTCTATTTAGGGATGCGAGATTTGTTCAATATTCAAAAATCTGTCAATGTAATCTGCCATACTTACAAGCTAAGAAAAAAATCACATGACCATATCAACTGATGCAGGAAAAGCATTTGACAAAATTCTATACCTATTCATGACAAAAACTCTCAGAAAACTAGGAATAGAGGGAAACTTCTTCAACCTGATAAAGAATATCTACAAAAAATTTTCTAACTAGCATCATACTTAATAGTGAGAAACAGGATGCTTTCCTGCTAAGATCAAGAACAAGGCAAAGACATCACCATGACTCTTCAACATTGTACTGGAAGTTCTTGCCAGTCCAATAAGGCAAGAAAATAAAATAAAAGGCATATCTTTTAGAAAGGAAGAAATACAACTGTCTCTATTTGCAGATAATAGCATGGTCTATGTAGAAAATCCCAAGGTATTTAAAAAATAAGTTCTAGAACTAATAAGTGAGTTCAGCAAGGTGATAAGATACAAGATCAACACATATGAAACTATTGTACTTCTAAATACTAATAGTTACACATAGAAAGAGAAAAGAATAAATACAATATAATTTATAATCACTCAAAAAAAAAAAAAAACCTTAAGGTGTAAGTCTAATAACATATGTACAGGTCTCATATTAAAAACTCCACAATGTTGATAAGAGAAATAAAAGAGAAACTTAATAAATGGAAATATATATCAAGTTCATGGAAAACTAAATATTATAAAGATGTCAAATCTCCCCAAATTGCTCTATAGATTTAATAAAATTTCTATCAAAATCCCAGCAAGATTTTTTATTGACATAGGTAAGATTATTGAAAGGTAAACTAGAATTGCTAAAAAAAATTTTAGAAAAAGAATAAGGTAGAAGGGATTACTCTACCATCTTGAAATTTGTATACCTACAGAAATCAATACTGTGTGATATTGGCAAAGGGACAGATACGCATATCAATGGGAAAGAAAAGATAACACAGAAATAG